AATGGTGTTGGGAAAATTGGACAGCCACATGCAGAAGAATGAAACTGGACCATTTCCTTACACCACACACAAAAATAGACTCCAAATGGTTGAAAGACCTAAACGTGAGACAGGAGTCCATCAAAATCCTAAAGGAGAACACAGGCAGCAACCTCTTCGACCTCAGCCACAGCAACTTCTTCCTAGAAACATCGCCAAAGGCAAGGGAAGCCAGGGCAAAAATGAACTATTGGGATTTCATCAAGATAAAAAGCTTTTGCACAGCAAAAGAAACAGTCAACAAAACCAAAAGACAACTGACAGAATGGGAGAAAATATTTGCATATGACATATCAGATAAAGGGCTAGTATCCAAAATCTGTAAAGAACTTATCAAACTCAACACCCAAAGAACAAATAATCCAATCAAGAAATGGGCAGAAGACATGAACAGACGTTTTTCCAAAGAAGACATCCAAATGGCCAACAGACACATGAAAAAGTACTCAACATCGCTCAGCATCAGGGAAATCCAAATCAAAACCTCAATGAGATACCACCTCACACCCGTCAGAATGGCTAGAATTAGCAAGTCAGGAAACGACAGATGTTGGCGGGGATGTGGAGAAAGGGGAACCCTCCTACACTGTTGGTGGGAATGCAAGCTGGTGCAGTTGCTCTGGAAAACAGTATGGAGGTTCCTCCAACAGCTGAAAATAGAGCTACCCTATAATCTAGCAATTGCACTACTGGGTATTTACCCCAAAGATACAAATGTAGGGATCCGAAGGGGTACATGCACCCCAATGTTTATAGCAGCAATGTCCACAATAGCCAAACTGTGGAAAGAGCCAAGATGTCCATCGACAGATGAATGAATAAAGAAGATGTGGTATATATACACAATGGAATATTATGCAGCCATCAAAAGGAATGAGATCTTGCCATTTGCAATGACGTGGATGGAACTGGAGGGTGTTATGCTGAGTGAAATAAGTCAATCAGAGAAAGACGTGTATCATATGACCTCACTGATATGAGGAATTCTTAATCTCAGGAAACAAACTGAGGGTTGCTGGAGTGGTGGGGGGTGGGAGGGATGGGGTGGCTGGGTGATAGACATTGGGGAGGGTATGTGCTATGGTGAGCACTGTGAATTGTACAAGACTGATGAATCACGGATCTGTACTTCTGAAACAAATAATGCAATATATGTTAAGAAAAAAAAAGGAAGAAGATAGCAGGAGGGGAAGAATGAAGGGGAGTAAGTCGGAGGGGGAGACGAACCATGAGAGATGATGGACTCTGAAAAACAAACTGAGGGTTCTAGAGGGGAGGGAGGTGGGGGGATGGGTTAGCCTGGTGATGGGTATTAAAGAGGGCACATTCTGCGTGGAGCACTGGGTGTTATGCACAAACAATGAATCATGGAACACTACATCAAAAACTAATGATGTAATGTATGGTGATTAACATAACAATAAAAAATTATAAAAAATAAAAATTAAAAAAAAAAAGCATAAGCAGGAATCACTAACGCAGAAGATTTTTAGTTAGAGTTGTCCACTAACAGATCCCAGGGGTTCTGTGAACTTGGGTGAGGAAAAAAAATCCTCTCTTTATTTTCACTGACTTTGGGCTAAAATTTAAATTATGAATGGAGACAGTAAACCACAGTAGAATTAACAGCACCTGTGACTTGGACCAATAAAACCACGGATATTTTTCACATTGTATCACACCTGGTACAGATACCACAAAACAGTGCTTATGTTCATCACAGCTTTGGAAGTAATTAAGTCTGCCTCTGGATCTTGTTATCCAATGCATTCATAAAGAAGCCCATAGGACAAAAGCAGAAATTTGACTTTTTAATGTTTTCATTATATTTCAATATAAGTGACGTCCTTTGTAATCTTATATATTCTCTTTCACGTTTAAAAGCACTCCTAGCAGGGGCACCTGGGTGGCTGAGCGTCTGCTTTTGGCTCAGGTCATGATCCTGGGGTCCTGGGATAGAGCCCCACGTCCCGCTCCCTGCTCAGTGGGGAGTCTGCTTCTCCCTCCCCCTCTGCTCTTCCTCTCTACTGAGGTGTGCCCTCTCTCAAATAAATAAATAAAATCTAAAAAAAAAATGCGCCCATAGCTTCATGAGACTGTGAAACCAGTCCACAGCACAACCTCTTAGAATATTTGCAAACTCTTTTCCCATTTTCCCATTCTTTACTTTTCTGCTTTGATCATTAGATGGTTTTCCAAATTTCTCTCTGGCCTATTGTTTTTGAAGCTTCTGGACCTCTGTCTAATAATAAAAGCCTTCAGTCTACTGTTTTTCCTCTGAGTTCAGCCTTAGACACATTCTGAAAGTTTCAATGTAGATGATCATCATCACTAATGCATAAATAATCTGCATTTATAGTCTATTTCCTGTTTAAGCCAACAGCTTTCAGCAGGTTGGCTTTTACTTGTAATTCGGATTTGAAAACCATTTTTTTAAATTAATTTTTAGTTTTACTGTACTGGACTAGAAAATAGAGTTGCTCTGAGGAATTTGAGTCTTTTTCACAGTGATACCTGAAATCAACTTTTGTAGATGTCCCACAGGAATGGAACAGGAAAGCAGTCCCCGTACATACAAAGCTCCACAATACCGCTATTAAGTTGACCTGGTCATTTCATTCAGATCCTTTAAACTTTACTTATTTTTGTCCCTTCGATCTGTTAGACCCCTGTCACAGTAAAGGTTTTCCCACCTTCTCCTAGTGCTTCTAATAATCTTTCCCTGCACGTGGTCTGAAGGAGGGCCGTTCTGTGAATGGTCCTCACTGCGACTCACAAGATGACCTTTTTTGTTCCCTTTTTTGTTCCCTGTCGATCCCTTACCTTACTCTCTATTTTGGCTAATAATATTACAAGGCTAGGTTTCTTTCGTTTCAATTCGGCTGATACTATCTTTGTGTCCTTTTACTTTTTCTAAAGCTGCCATTTTAGTTTGATCTTTTGGGTGGGACTTTTGATTTTTGACCCAATCTTCAAATTGTTATCTTTAAAAACAGTTTAATCAAGTCACATTTACTGTTATAACTAATCTGCTACTACTTCCATCACCTTGTACTCTGCCCTGTGATATTTAAGCTGACTTTTCTTTCCTTCTCTTGTTCGCGAACCATGCTCTAGTTGCACCTATGCTCTCCAACAATGGGGAAGACATGCAACTCATATAAATTTTACTAACAGGTCCTATTAAAATTCTAAAACCATTATTTAACCTTTTTTACACCGTGAGAAAAAGGATAACACAAAAGCCCCACAGAGGCGATTAACATTTAAAATTTTTAAAATAATTTTATTTTCATTTGCCTCTTATTTTTATTAATAGGTTAAAATAAAATAATAACAGAATTAAAAATAAATCTCCTTTTGCCAAGTGCACTGAGATTTATAATAATTATGATGCATCTCTGTTCTAACAAGGTTCCGAGCTGGATCTACCCCTTTTACCAAATCCATTTAATAATTTCCCTATTCTTGCCCTCTTCGTTTGCATCATATCTCAATGGTTTGGATATCTGTAAGTAACTGTGCCACAGATAAAAGAGTGACATTTTTTAAGCCCTTGTTTAGAAAGAAAGAAAGAAGGAAGGGAGGGAGGGAGGGAGGGAGGGAGGGAGGAAGGAAGAAAGGGAAAGAAAGGAAAAAAGTTTATCAGAAAATATACTTTTGGGTCACATTTTTTAAAACCCTCAACACAGAAGTATTTATTATTTATTCTAAGAATTTGGAAATGACCAGGAAGAACTGATCAAAGGCCATGTTCTACTTGGCTAAACAGAAATTACATGAACAACAAAAAGAAACATTCCTCAAAACAAAATTGTGACCAGAAGACAGTAAACACTGCAGAGCATAGAAGAAATTCAAAGAAATTCAAGCCAAAACAGTACAAAAGAAAAGCCTAAATAAAAGAGACCTTTATAATCCTCATTCTTAGCGTTCTGTGGCCTGTGGAAGCTGGCCACCACCAAGCCAGCCACTTCTGGTGTAAGAATCAAGAGGTCTAAAAATGGCAGGGTTGGGTGGCTGTGACTAGATCTGTAACATCTTCCTGATCTTTGAATCAATACACGTCTCTGAAATCCCAAAATTAGCTTTTGGGTTTTTTTGTTGTTGTTACTTTTGATTTCTTTTCCCTACCATTTTACTATGAAACTTCCATACACACAGAAAAGTCAAATTTTATAGTGACCACCCACATACCTACCACCAGAGTCTACGTTTAATATCTTACTATAGTTACTTTAACACATGTCCACCTATCTAGGTACCTGTCTGTCTATCCATCCATCTCTCTACATATCATTGCATTTGAGTTTAAAACCATTTCTTACTCCCTCCTATCCCTTACAATAGGGTTTCTTAACCTCAGCACTCCTGACATTTTGGGCCAGATAATTCTTTGTTGTGGGGGGCTGTCCTGTGCATCTTAGGATGTTTTGCAGCATCCCTGGCCTCTACCCACTAGATGTCAATAAAACACCTCCCTCAACCCCAGCTGTGATAACCAAAAATGTCTTCAGACATGGACAAACATCCTGTGGGGGACAAAACTGGTCCTGAGAAACACCACCCTCGAACACACACACAGGAGGCTTTGTGCAGGAAGGGCACCCCTTAAGAATTTGTGCATGATCTGTCCCGAGCTCTTATCTAGAAATCATACACAGCACACCTAGAGGTGTGGTATGAATGAGAAGCAGTATACGGGATCTGTGGCTGCTAGTACAATTTGTCTGTTTACTTTTAAAGCTGACGTAGGCTGACATAAGGCACAGACAAATCAGTGGCATAATAACCTACGTGTGATCTGATGATATTAACACAGATGAGGGCTGAGGTAGACAACAAAAAGATACATTAACACAAATCCAAATTCCTAAGGGTCATTTTTTCCCCCACAGTTCATGTATCATTCAATCTTACCATATTAAACACAATGTTAAAATAAAAATGATCAAACCTACCTTGACTGCCCAAAAGTCACATGACAACAACAAGATAATTGTCACCATACAGGCAATAAAGCTGCTGCTGAACAATTCACAGAGAAGATAGACTACAATTGCACTGACTCGAAAGAATAAATGGAAAAATGATGCCACTGGGTGTCTGAAAACCAAAACATAATAAAAGAAATGCAATTACATTTCACCACAGGTACTGCAGACGGAGATGAACAACATTTTAGCCATAACACAACCATGCAGAGTTTTGTCAAAGCAAAGGTGATGACCTGAGGAAGAAGCAAACTGCCCACCTCTCTTTGTTCATAACTTCCCATTATTTGACTAAGCCGTGTTCTCATAGAAAATACACTATGGAAACAGGACTTTAACACCTCACGGAATATAAACTTTCACAAAATATATCATGAGAAATTTTGCCAAGCTTGGAGAATTAAGGAAACTATACTCTTGGGATCAAATCCTATTTGCACATAAAAAACTAGTTCGGGAGTGCCTGCTGGCTCAGTCGGAAGAGCATGTGACTCTTGATCTGGGAGTCATGAATTCAAGCCCCATGCTAGGTGCAGAAATTACTTAAAAATAAAAAAAATAAAAATAAAAGAATTCCTGGGCCCTCAGAAATCACTTCAGGCTTTAAGGCAAAGTAACTATCAGGTAGGCTTGTTTTTCCTTTTTAACATCTTTACTGAGACATAATCCACATACCATTCGATCATCTATTTAAAGTGTATACACCAATGGTTTTTGGTGTATTCACAGAACTGTGCAATCATCACCACAATCACTTTTAGCACTTTTTCATTACCCCAAGAAGAAACTCTATACCCACTGGCAGTCCCTCCTCATCCACCCCAACTCCACCCCTCTCCAGCCATACGCCACCAGTAATGTACTGCTGTCTCTATAGATTTGCCTATTCTGGACAATTCACATCAATGAAATCATATAATATGTGGTTTTTTGTGCCTGGCATCTCTCACTAAACATAATGTTTTCAAAGGTCAGGAAGAATTTGACTGCAGTAAGTGAATTTCTTTAGAGGGAACTAAATTTGGAATCGAAATATGTCTGGCTTGACGTGTTCATGTTATTTTACAGGTAAAAGATGTGATTTTTGAAATGTGCACAATAAATCAAAATGGAACCGGTCTACAGAAACTAGAGAAATGGTGTATTCTTGGGAAACAGTAGCTAGAAATAAAAACACCAGTGGTTCACAAAATCGGATTCGCAGATATGAAAACTCGGCATTGAGTTCAATTCCATATGCCATTTATTCCCAAAGAAAATCTGAAATGTCCTCTTTGTCTCAGACCAAAGCTCAAACTAGCCATGTCCACTACTCACAAGTGCATAACTGCCACTCGCTCTTCCCCGAATCACATCGGCTGGTACCCACCTACACACAAAACAGCGCTGGGCTCTCACACACTTACACCGTGTCCCCTTACCTGATCTTGGATTTTTTTGGTCTGTTAGCTGTCTCCTCTTCTGCATCAAACAGGGAAACATCCTCGGTGTCATCATTACTGTCCTAGCAGGAAAATTGAATATCCATGAAGCAAGATGAAATTCAGTACTTGAATGCCTCCTACGCAGAAGGCAGCGCACTAGTCCAAATGGAAGACAAGAGACACGGTCACAGACATCGGGGAATTGACAACCTAGGGAAAGGGCACTCCAGGATCATCTGGCAACGAGCCATCGCTCGCCCGCTGCGAGCCCTATGAGAAACCCCAGGAGTGTCAATGGCGCTCCTGCAAACTTCCCACATGAGCTCGCGGCTGCTCTCCCACCAGTCACAGAGAAAGCAGAGGCTACTGGGGGACACACCCGATGCTTTTGGCTCCTTCACGAAATCACCTGCCTGCATCCTTGTTTCCCTGACCCCTTCTCACCATTCACTTTGTATCCAAGGTGAAAGTAACTGTTGGGCTTGGAACCTCTTCTTTTCCTGCCTCCCCGGGGGCTTCCGCCATCAATTTCCCCCTTTACTTACACTTTCTTTTATCTTCAGGTCTTTCTATTGGATCTTTCCAATCAGCAAATGAAGTTTTTCGGAGGTCATTTATTGCTTGAAAAAGATGTTTAAAAAACCCTGACCCTGAACCTCCCCTTCTATCTTTTGCTCTCATCTCACGGCATTCCTCCCCTTTCACAGCCTTAGATTTGAAGGGTGGCTCACACCTCAACTCACTGCTTCAGCCTCAACCACAACGAACCTGCTTTTACACCTGGCCTAGGGCCAGCCACCCACCACTCACCTGCCCTTACCTCATCCCTGCCCGCCTCCGGCCCCTCATTACCCACAGAGCCATCCTCCTAACAGGAAGGTCACACCAGGTCATCCCCCTCTGCAAGTGTTTTCAATGGCGCTCCTACGTGTATAGGATGTAAGTTCACTCCTCCATGTACAGTACAAGACCTGTCATGATCTTCTGACTCTCCCTTCCACTGGTCAGGGCCACAACACCGTTGCCACATGTTCTCTGAAAACCCCATGGATTCCCACCTCTCTGCCTTTCCCATGTGTTCCCCGCCCAGAAAGCTCCTCCCTTCACCATCCCCTACGTAGCTCACCATCAGGCAACACCAGATCTTTCCAATTTCAGCTAAAATACTGAAAGGGCTGAGAGACTCTCCCTGCAATCCCCAGGCTTCCCATTTCCCATGATCCCACGGCACCAGGACAAATGTCCACTTGCACAACTATCTCAGGCTATCTGCAGGTCTCCAACGACTACCGCCATCTAGACTCCGGGCCACTGGAGGGCAGGGAGTGTCACTGCATTGTAGTTAAGTCCTAGTGCCCAGCAGAGCACCCAGCCAGGTGGTACAGTATTTATCGAAGGCATGAGCAAATGCACAAAGGAGGCAACTGCAGACTGTGACCAGAGCCAGGAGAAATACAAGTACAAATGGGAGCACAGGGAGGAAGAGAATCGTTTCTACTCGAGGGCTCTGGAGGAGAGCTTCTGTGCTGGGTGCAGACAGAGCAAGGAGGGCTTCTGCTCACTCCAGTCCCTTGACTAGGTAGATTTTCAAGGGCAGAGAGTGGAAACACACAGGTATATACAGGGAATGGCGAAGGAGTCCAGAGATGCAGAGCGGGAGCTAAAGCTTTAAAAGGAAAATGGACTCAGAGATCTGAGACCAGTGGTTCTCAACTTTGGCTTACAGGCTGGAATTGTACCTACATTTTTTTTAAAGCCCCCCAGATGATAATAATCCGCAGCCAAGACTGAGATCCACTGTATGATGCTACGGACTGAAAAACTGAGACTTCTGACCTTCATCCCAACAGTCCAATCTACACCCAGCAGCCAGGGTGACCTTTCACACTTAGATCATATCATCCTCCTACTGAAAACCTAAAGGACTTTGACTGAAAAACTGACTCCCTATCAGGATCCATCATAATCGTGACCCTGCCCACCTCGAGGCACCTATCTCAGGCTACTTACTCTCCCTCCAGGAACTGTGATGCACTGAATAATGCTTCCTCTCCCTCCTGCCAAAGACATCCTGGTTCTAACGCCTGGAATTTGTAAATATGTCAATTTACTTAGCAAAAAGATTTTTTGCAGATGTGATCAAATTAAGGATCTTGAGAGGGGAAGAGCATCCTATTCAAGTGGGCCCAATGATGTCATTACAATGTCTTTATAGAAGAACACAAGAGGGTCAGAGTCAGAGAAGGCACTGAGACCATGAAAAGCAGAAGTCAGAGCGAGATCTGAAGATGCTATGCTGCTGACTTTGAAGCTTGAGGAAGACCACCAGCCAAGGAATGCAGGTGGCCTCAAGAAGCCGGAAAAGGCAAGGACAAATCTGATTTTCCCCTAGAGCCTCCAGAAGAAACACAGTCCAGCCAATACCCTGATGTTAGCCTTTAGGACTCCTTTTGGACTTCTGACTCAGAACTGTGATATGATAAATTTGTATTAAGCCACTAAATTTACGCTAATCTGCAGCAACAGGAAACCCATATAGTAATTAAGCCCTTGCCAGACTAGTCTCCTTTTTAGTTCCTTAAACATGCCAAACTTGCACCCCACCGGGTTCTTTGACATATGTTCTATCTAGTTCTATCTAGAACACTCTTTTCTCTTACCCTGTTCTTTGAAAGACTGGTTTATTCTCATTAAATAAATACTGAGTGCCAGGCACTGTTTTAAGTGGTACAGCCTGACACAAGAAAAAAGACAAATAGTTCTGCACTTTTGGTGTTGCATTTACTAAGATGGGGAAGGCTGAGGGCACAACATTAGGGTGAAATCAAGAGTTTGGTTTTACATTAGAGATGATGGACTCTGAAAAACAAACTGAGGGTTCTACAGGGGAGGGGGGTGGGGGGATGGGTTAGCCTGGTGATGGGTATTCAAGAGGGCACGTTCTGCGTGGAGTACTGGGTGTTAGGCACAAACAATGAATCATGGAACACTACATCACAAACTCATGATGTAATGTATGGTGATTAACATAACAATAAAAAATTTTAAAAAAAGAGTTTGGTTTTAGACATTTAAGCTTAAGATGCTGGTATTAAGGACTTTAAAAAAAAAATTGAGAAGGGGGACCGTTAGTGTGTTCTGCACACAGGACTATCACGTTCTAATTTAGGTGTTAAAAGGAAAATTCTGGCTACTGTATGGAAAATCTGGGAGGGAGAGGGAAAGATAAAGGCACAAAGCTGTAAGGCTGGTTTAGGAGGCTAAACCAATAATGGAGCCAAGAAGTAACGGTTTGGTCTAGGGTGGACATATTGGAGGTGGTGAAATACATTGACTCCAAATGCATTTTAAAGTAGAAATGACAGGGCACCTGGGTGGCTCAGTCGGTTAAACATCAGCCTTCAGCTCAGGTCATGATCCCAGGGATCATGCCCCGCTTCAGGCTCCCTGCTCCGCAGAGAGTCTGCTTCTCCCCCTGCTCATGCTCTCTCTCTCTCAAATAAATAAATAAATAAAATCTTTAAAAACTAAAGCAGAAATGACAGGATTTGCTGATGGGTTGAACATGGGGGTAAGAGAAAAGGAATTAAGGAAGATTCCAAAGTTTTTGTCCTGAGCGGCTAAAAATGAAGGCACCAAAGACAGACTCTGAGCACACCAATACCTAAAGGTCAGAAAGACAAAAAGGAATAAGCACTGGGGTTGCAAAGGAAGTGCTAAGGAGTAGGAGCTGAACCAGGGGGTGGTGTCCTGGAAACCAAGGGAAGACGGTGTTTCCAGAAGGAGGATCAGATCAACTGTGTCAAATGCTGCTCACAAGTAGGATGGAAACCACAGAGACCACCATTTCTAATGGGTTATCAGTGACCACAATAAGAGCAGTTTCAGGATGGCAGGGGGAAGTGGGAGAAAACCAGACTAGAATGGACACAAGAGAGAATAGAAGTAAAAAACAAGTATAAATAAATCTTAAGGAACAAAGAATGGGGTGAGAGCTGAAAGGGTATATAGAATGAAATTTTTTATTTTTTAAGAAATTAAAGCACATTTACAGGTTAACTTAAACGAGCTGTTGTTTTTGTTTTTGTTTTTAATGTAGGCTCCACCCAGAGTGGAGCCCAACTCAGGACCCTGAGATCAAGACCTGAGCTGAGATCAAGAGTCAGACGCTTAACCAACTGAGCCACCCATGTGCCCCTTAAGCTTTAAACAAAGCAAACAAACACAAAACTGATGCAGGAGGGCAAAGGGAGAATTGCTGGGGCACCGCCTTCCAGGAGACCAGAGGGCATGGAAACAGTGCCCAAGTAGAGGGGATGGCCTAAGGATGGAGCACAGACAGGAAAAGGAAGACAGAGTCTATGGGAGATCATGAGCACAGATGTAGATGGCAGGTGGCGTGAAATTCTCTCCCGACGGCTTCTACTTTCCCCGTGAGATAAGAAGCAGAGAGAGGGCAAGGGAAGAAATGTGGGAGGTCTGAGGAAAGAGAAACCTCAGTAGTGGCCCAGGAGGGTGGGAGGGTGAGGAGCCTGTGGGAACGTGGCGATGACCGCCTGGCAGCACTGAGAGCCCATCTGGGCTTCACCACACACGTCCAGTGGGAGGAGTCAGTATGGTTGTGTGGTTTTCCCCAGCCTCCTTCAGCCTGGGTGGAGGTTCTGAAAGCCGACTCTAACCATCATTGTATCTTCCCCACTCAAGAGACCTCCTCGGGGGAGTGGTCTTTCCTGACCATCAGTTCTAAGCTTGTCCTATTTCTCAGCTACTGGCTATGACATCACCTTGTCTTTGCTATCCTTACCTGAAAACATCCTCAGTTCTGTAACTTACTCCCTCTCCCCACCCCAACCCATCCCATCCACAAGCCCGCATCCCCTAGCACCAGGAATCTGTCTGTATTGTTCACAGCCCTATCCCAGGGCCCAGAACAGTGAGTGCCTGCGCCATGGTTATCCCTCAGTAACAAAAAAATACCTATATCCTTGAGGAAAAGTGCACTATAAACAGTAAAAAGTTGTTTTTTTTTTTTTTAATGAGAAGAGATTATTAAATTAGTCTTACTCATCTCTGGTCGTAAACCTGCAAACTGTAATTAACTCTAAGGGCACAGACGTGATGACCGAAGTGATAAGCAATCACCATTAGTGTCACTTCGGCAACGGACACTTGAGTGCAAGGCCCTGGCGGTGTCTCCTAGTCCCCCAGGATCGCGGTGCTCCCCTCAGAGTCTCCGAACGGCTGGGGAGAGCCAGACCACCCGCAACTTCACACCGAGGGCGTTTCCGCAGCACGGCACCCGAGCGACCTGGCGCCCCGCGTCGGCTGGCACTGCGCTCTGCACACCCCGCAGCTGTCCCTCTGACGGGCAGCCGGCCACGCTCCCCCGCAAGAGGCCTCGGGGCTGCCGGCTGCGCTCCCCGGACGGCCGCCCGCAGCCCTCCGCCCACGCCCCACCCCGACCCGGGCGCGGGCAGCGACGGGGGCCGCGAGCACAAAGGCCCCGGGCCGCCACACTCGCGCCCCTCAGGCCCTGGAGGCCCGGCGCCCAGCCACACCCACCCTCACAGCGCGCCCTCAGCCCCTCACCTGCTGCAACATGACGGCCCTGCGCCAGCCCCACTTCCGGGAGCCACGTCAGCGTCGCAGCTGACGCAACCTGATCGCCACAGGAGGGGAGGAGCAAAGCACAAGCCCAGCCCGTTCCTACTTCCGCTTCCGGGTGCTTCGCCGGGCAGGGGGCAGTAACTGGAGGGGGGGGGCGAGCGTGTGGGCGGGACGAACTCCGGGCGTAGCGCGAGGGGGGCGGGCGTTCCGTGAGCGGAGCGAGCCTATGGGCGGGGTGTCCGGGGCGGGGCGAACTCGGGAACGGGGCGAGATCAGGGGCAGGGCGACGGCGGCGGTCGTCCCGGGAACTGGGCGAGCTGGGGGCGGAGCGCGAGGGCGGTGGGCGTCTGGGGCGGGGCGAGCGAGGAGGGCGGGGCGCGAGGAGGGTGGGCGTCTTGGGGGCGGGGCGAGCTGGGGGCGGAGCGCGAGGGCGGCGGGCGAGCGACCCCAGAGCGGGGCGGGCAAGTGGACGGCCCGGGGGGGCGAGGGGGGCGGGGCGGGGGGGCCGGGCGAGTGCCTGGACTGGGCTCCCCTTAGGGGGCGGGGAAGCGCGGACTGTGCGGGGGTGGGGGCTGGTCCGAGCTGGAACCGGGAAAGACTCGCTCGCTGCTTAGAACATCCCCGAGGCTTGGTGGACTTCAGGGTGAAAACTTCGTGGTTTGCCACGTGGGGATGTTGTAGCCCGCATGGGTGTCCTGAGAGTAAGGGGCATGGGGGACGGGCCTTATTTTAACACAGTTGCATTTTGTTTGAATGTTTTACAGTATGTGTTCATGTATTATTATATGTGTACCTTAAATTTAGAAGCAACTGAGAAAGATAAATGTGCTCCTGCTAAGAGGTGGAAAGGCATTAAGAAGAAACAAGGCGGAGGACTCTATAGACAAGAGGGAGTTTTATCGTGGGAGGAAAACAGAGGCCAGGAGACAGTAAGGAATAGAGGTTGGGAACATGGGTTTGAGTCCCCGCTTGTCCAGGTACTAGCTCTCCAGCTAACGTCTATGCACGGCTTTCCTCAGTTGTAAAGAGGGGATGATAATGGTATCCGAACAGGGTTAAATGTGCTTAGTAAATAGTAAATGTAATTCTTACTACTGTTTTAAGTTTAATCGCTGGAGATGTCGTTTTGCTCCATGAAGGACCTGAAATTCAGGAACTTTACATCATCTTTGAAACTGTGATTATAACAATGTGACTGTAACGATATCCTATGTGCCCGGCCTACTTCAAAGGACTATTGGGAGACTCGTGGAATAACGTGTGTTAACACATTTCCTTCATTGAGGGGATCCTTTCCATAGAAATTACAAATTTTACATGGCTATTTACTAGTGCTGCATTAATTTCTTTTAAGATTTTTATTTATTATTTGAGAGAGAGAGTGAGCAGGAGGAAGAGGGAGAGAGAATTTGAAGCCGACCCCACACTGAGCACAGAGCCTACCCGGGCTCCATCCAATGACCAGGCTATAGACTGAAGGTTCCAATGACCCCCTTCTTGGGTTTAATTAATTTGCCAGAGGGGCTCACAGAACTCAGGGAAACACTTACTCACTTACTTACATGTACCAGTTTATTAAAAGATAGAGACGAACAACCAGATAAAGACACATACAGGGCCAGGTCTGGGAGGGTTCATGGAGTTGGGGTGCATCACCCAGTACATGGATGTGTTCACCAACCTGGAAGCTCTCTGAACTCCATGCTATTGAGATTTTTATGGAGGTTTCATCACCGTAGGCATGATGGATCATTAACTCCACTTCCATTAACTCCATTAACTCCGTCTGGAGCATGGGGAGTGGGGCTAAAATTCCCAAGCTTCTAATCCTACCTTGGTCCTTTTGGTGACCAGCCCCCAGGCAGGAGCCATCCAGGAGCCCACTCTGAGTCCCCTCATTAAAACAAAAGATGATCCTAGTGGTCATATCAGTTAGAAATGTATAAGGGTTTCAGAAGCTCTGTGCCAGGAACTGGGGACAGAGACCCTTATATATTTTTTATTATCCCACACCATCCTATGGTCATGCTGAGCCACTGAGGAGAAGCTACCCATTTGGACAGGGCTTGAGTTCTCCGATGGGCCATAGCTCCCATGGTGTTCTGTACTCTTTTCAATTACCTGCCTGGTCCCTGACACCATCCTTGGGAGGTCTAGGTGGAAACATCAACACACTTGATATTAGTGTTCCTCTCTGAAGAAAAGATGAATATGCTTAATTCTTTTCCATAGGAGTTAGCCCTGAGAAGGAAAAGAACACATAACGTTCTCAAATGCAATAGGTCAACCCCACTGAGGGCTTCTTTTAGATTCTTAACTGAAGTCATTGAGCTTCATCAGGCTTTGGTGCAAAAATACCAGGGAATTCCAATGCATTCTTCTGATACAATCCCATCAGTTCATTTGCTACCAGAATGATAGCACCAAATTGGTGGTGATGGGTGGTATTTAATTTCCAAAGATCACTTTCCCATCACCCACCAGTGAAGCTGGGCTTTCACGTTTCATTAAATGGTTTTCTGTGGGAATACAAATGCCAATCTCTCCCAGCAACACCTCCCCCACCCCTGCCTCTGTTTTCTTGATTCGATCATATCAATTCTTTGGCTTATAGGAAGATAATTACGAATCCCCACATTGCCAAGGGACAGCTCAAAACCAACAAACAAACAGGCAAAACAAAAGGCCAAACACCAACATCCATTTGGGTTCTCTGTTTATTGTAAGACGTTCATTTCCCAAGGCTGGTTCAGATAAACACGTTTTGTCCCAGTTCCGGGGCTGCTGTTTTTCCTTGCTTCATGAAGTGATCTATCGGCAGGCCTTTGATCTTCCTGATCCAGGCAGCTCTGCGGGCTTTTTCGGGATTGACCACTTCACTGGGCTTTCTGGCCTGAAACTCCTTCATCTTGGCTTCCCCATACTCCTTCTCCTCCTTTACGGTCAACAACATGAACTTGGTGTTCATTCTAAAGGGATCAAGGGTCGTGTAGAAGCGAGGTCGTTCTTTCTTGACAGACTTGGTTCTCCTGTCCACGGGTGGAGCCAGCATGCGGTTCGGTTTAATTACCTGCAGGCTGGTTAACGGGCTGCAGGGGCGCACTGTCCTGTTGATGGAGCCGGTCTCTTGGCCTTCATCCTTGAGGGCGACTGCGAATCTGGGGCAGATAATCGCAGGCTGGGGTATAGTGGACTGGACTCGGGGACTGTGCAAAGAGTTCTTCAAGTTGGGCTGCAGTTTCTGGGTCTCCAAGGGAATACTGGTTTGCGTCACGTCAATGGGAGGGTTACTCCACCTCAACCTATCAACTGCCTGTTGGATTGATTTTCCTTTGAAACTCAGGACCTTCCTTGGGTGTGAAATTGAAGGTCCCCAGGCATCAATGACTTGGGTTTGGGGCCTCCGGGGATAGGCAAACTCCCCTGAATTATGGACTTGCTGCAGGGCATTAACCGTCAGAAGGAACTGGTCCGCCGACATAGGGATTTGCCAATGCTTTTTCTTTGAGCGCTTGATCAAGTCTCCAGGTGGTACTTTCTCCTCATCCTCTGGTTTTTCAAAAAAGAAAACAAAAATAGGTCACAGTGTTCCATGAAAACTGGTAAGTAGTTATGCATGAAATTTAAACCCATTCTAACGGCGATGCAAACTGAGGTCTCTGTGGTCCAACAGGCGTGCCAAGATGTGCACAAAAATCCTCTATGGCACTAGAAATTATGATATATACAACACAACAAGTTTTGAATAAATATATAAGTACTCGAGTATTGTGTGTGTGTATTAAACAAGTGTGTATTAAAGTGTGTATTAAACCCTAGATATGCATGTTTTGGAGGGAACATATGTAATCCCAGTGTTTCACACATTTTGAAACCCCCCTGTGAGAATGAGCTTCCTCCCTCTTTTATGATTCACACAATAGGCCTTATAAATTTATAGTAATGAATCTATATTTTTAAACAAAAACTGGATCAAAAAGTTTGATTTCCATCTTATTAATTATTCATCAAATTTGACTCTAAATGATCTTTGGACATTTCCCCAAAATCAAAATGGCCTTCAAAATAGACATTACCCCTAGGAAATGCAAAATATCACAACATAACCAACGAGCAGTTTCTGAACAGGAGTTCCTAAAATGTTTTGAACAATAGCGGCAGTTCCAAAAGCCATTTGACAAGGATAAGAGCTTCATTCTGGCATACTACCTTATGGTCAAGACTTCCAAAGTGCCAAATACCTAGAAGTAACAAGGATGTCTTCACACCTGAGCAAATGTATTATATCTCTCTCGTTTAGGCTTTTCAATACCTACAATACCTCACCGATACACGGAAAGTGTTATCCCCATTTTACAAAAGGAATAACTGAGTCATGAAAAGTAGAAGTCATTTGTCTAGTCTGACCTAACAGTTAAAAGTCTGTACCCCAAATTATGCCAATGTATAACTAGTAAATAAAATGCAAAAGTGCGCTGAGCATATAATTTTCCTTGACAAAATGGGTTTTATCCCAAGATGTTTGTGTATGGGCATTAAGATGGAATGAAGTTTTAGATATCTCCCTGTTTACTTTGTTAAATAAATAATATTTAATTAAATTATTAAATGTTAAATCATTAAATTAAATATTATTTAATAATTACAATATTAAATTAATGATTGCATTAAATATTACATTGCAATTAAATAGTAAGATATTAAATATTTTTACTAAAGCATACAAAAATAAATTAAGATGTCAAAATCTTCCCCACTGTCCTTCTAATCCCAGAATAAACCACTCTGCATGTGTATTAAAAAACACAGTTTTTTTCCTTTGAAAAAAAGAATTGTGTCAGGGTGCCTGGGTGGCTGATTCAGTTAAGCATCCCACTCTTGATTTCAGCTCAGTTCATGAGATCGAGGCCCACGTCAAGCTCTGAGCTCAGTGCAGGGTCAGCTTGAGATTCTCTCCTTCCTCTGCCCCTCCCTACCCCATCCCCCCCCCACTCGTGCTCTCTGTCTCTAAAATAAATAATTTTTTTAAAAAAGGAATTGTGTCAAGAAAGTGGGTTAGAGAGAACATACCTCAACATAATAAGGGCCATATATGAAAAACCCACAGCTAACATCATACTCAGTGGTCACACACACACACACAGGAATATTATGTGGCCATAAAAAAGATGAGATCGTGCCATTTGAGACAACATAGGTAGACCTGGAGGGTATTATGCTAAGTGCAATAAGTCAGACCAAGAAAGACAAATACGTGATTTCACTCATACGTGGACTCTTAAAAAAAAGTGAATAAACAAACAAAAAATAGATTCAGACCTATAAATACAGCGCACAAACTGATGGTTGCCAGAGGGGAGGAGGTGGGGGGTGAGTCAAATGGATGAAGGGGAGTGGGAGATACAGGCTTCCAGTAATGAAATGAATAAATCATGGGAGTAAAAAGCACAGAATAAGGAATACAGTCAACGATATTATAATAGGGATGTATATCGGGATGGATAGTTAGCTACACTTGTGAACACAGCATAATGTATAAACTTGTCAAATCATTATGTTGTACATCTGAAACTAACGTACCATTTTGTGTCAACTATACTCAAATTTTTTTAAAAAGGAATTATGATGACTCATTTTTCATTAAGGTGTCTTTTTTTGGTATAATAATATATTTTGAATCTCTTTCCAAATCACTCTATGTGGGTCTGTCCTCATGATACAATTTTTAGCTATTAGATAATATTCCATAGTATGAATTTTTCCTTATCTGCTTAGTCATCGCCCACGGGTGAACATTTCGTTTGTTAGTGACCAACTTTAAAAAAATGTAAATACCATTTTTATTTATCATATAAGCAAGTTCAAAAGGATGGATAACACCCATTTGGGCATGGGTATAGTGGGAGATCTCATGCATTGTTGGTAGGACTGTAAATTGATATATCATTTTTTAAGGGTGACTATGGTAATATCTTTCTAAATTTTTTTATTTTTATTTGTTTATTTTTTAAGTAAATCCCCTCAAGGCGGGGCTTGAACTCATGACCCTGAGATCAAGATCTGAGCTGAAATGTCCACAATAGCCAAACTGTGGAAAGAGCCAAGATGTCCATCGACAGATGAATGGATAAAGAAGATGTGGTTTATATACACAATGGAATATTATGCAGCCATCAAAAGGAATGAGATCTTGCCATTTGCAACGACGTGGATGGAACTGGAGGGTGTTATGCTGAGTGAAATAAGTCAATCAGAGAAAGATATGTATCATATGACCTCACTGATATGAGGAATTCTTAATCTCAGGAAACAAACTGAGGGTTGCTGGAGTGGTGGGGGGTGGGAGGGATGGGGTGTCTGGGTGATAGACATTGGGGAGGGTATGTGCTATGGTGAGCCCTGTGAATTGTGCAAGACTGTTGAATCACAGATCTGTACCTCTGAAACAAATAATGCAATATATGTTAAGAAAAAGAAGAAGAAGAAGATAGCAGGAGGGGAAGAATGAAGGGGAGTAAATCAGAGGGGGAGACGAATCATGAGAGATGATGGACTCTGAAAAACAAACCGAGGGTTCTAGAGGGGAGGGGGGTGGGGGGATGGGTTAACCTGGTGATGGGTATTAAAGAGGGCACGTTCTGCGTGGAGCACTGGGTGTTATGCACAAACAATGAATCATGGACCACTACATCAAAAACTAATGATGTAATGTATAGTGATTAACATAACAATAAACTTTTTTTAAAAAAAGATCTGAGCTGAGATCAAGAGTCAGATGGCTTAACCAACTGAGCCACCCAGGTGTCCCTCTAATTTTTTTTTTTAAATCCAAAGAAAATTTATCAGTTATGCTAGTGTCCTCCTCTTTATTATTTAAAAAGATTTTAATTCCAGTATACTGAATATACAGTACTATATTAGCTTCAGGCGTACAATATAGCAACTCAACCATTGTATACGTTACCCAGTGCTCATCATGACAAGTGTACTCTTCATCCCCTTCACCTGTTTCGCCCATCCCCCACCTCCCCCCTGGTGACCATCAGTTTGTTCTCTATAGTTAAGGATCTGTTTTTTGGTCTTTTTTTCTTTGTTCATTTGTTTTGTTTCTTAAATTCCACATAGGAGTGAAATCATACGGCATTTGTCTTTCTCTGACTTATTTCACTTAGGATTATATCCTCTAGATCCATCCATGTTATTGCACATGGAAAGATTTCATTCCTTTTTATGGCTGAGTAGTATTCCAGCATGTGTGTGTGTGCATGTGTGTGCACGCACAACCTCTTTTTTTTTCCAGTTTTTTTAAAAAAAATTTATTTATTCAAGAGAGAGAGCATGAGTGGGAAGGGCAGAGGGAGAGGGAGAGAGAATCTGAGGCAGACTCTGTGCTGAGCATGGAGCCCAGCACAGGGCTAGATCTCACGACCCTGAGATCGACACCTGAGCCAAAACCAAAAGTCAGTCACTTAACCGACTGAGTCACCCAAGTGCCCCTATACCACCTCTTCTGTATCCATTCATCTATTGATGGACACTTGGGCTCCTTCCATAGTTTGGCTATTGTAGATAATGCTGCAATAAACAGGGCTGCAATGTCTTTCTGATTTTCTTAAAGATTTATTTATTTATTTTAGAGAGAGAGCATGAGCAGGGGGAGAGGGAGGAAGAGAGAGAAGTGGATTACCTGCTGAGGGCAGAGCCTCATGTAGGGCTCGATCTCATGACCCTGAGATCATGACCTGAGCTGACATCAAGAGTCAGACACTTAACCAACTGAGCCATCCAGGCTCCCCAGTATCCTTCTAATTTTTAAAGGCAGTTATCCTTTGGCTCAGCAATGCCACTCCTAAGACTTTACCCTACAGGTATACCTACAAGGTACCTAAACATAGGCATATTCAAGGATGCCCATTGTTAGTATAGCTCTCCTGAAACCTAACTGTTTTACCCTCACCTTGAAGCTGGTCTCTACAGGGAGTTTGATTCAAAGAACCACTATTACATTAGCCAAAAGTATTTGAAAGGCATTTTAAATCTTTACCAAAATCTCCCTTCAAAAACAACAATGGGACATCCTATTCATGATGACACACCAGTCCAAGAAGTGAGAAGTCTGAGTGGCAGATACGGGAGGCAGGCTGTGAGCCCAAAACTGGAAACACGGCTCTTACAAAGGTTGTTCATGCTGTGGCCTCAAGTTAGTAAGGGGACAATTAAGGAAAACAAATCACCCTTAAGAAAAGTCAGACATTTTATCCTTTCTGAATTCTAAAAGATAAGCGGTCATTGACTTGCTGAAAAACTAGATGGAACAGAGTGAGCGAGCAACAGAGAGGAGGGAGAGAAGAGAGAGAGAGGATTTTGCCCCTGATCTGGAATAAAATATCACCTTTCGTTGTATGTCCTCCGAGGGATTTTGCTTCCTTAGAAAGAGGACTCGCTCTCTTCTTGCCATCTCTTTGGGGTGATTTTGACCTTCCTTGACTTGGAGGTCCCTCTAATAACACTTCTAAATGAAGATTGAGAAGGAAATCTTAGTAATTACATAATTCAACAAGGTCTAAATAATAGGGGCATAGCTGGTAATTTGGCTTATTTGCACCCAAACTATCACCTTGCTGTTTGTTGTTGTGTGACACCAGGTAAGGGATCTGGAGCCTAAGGTCTACACCACCTCCTGCCTTTCCTCTCACCCACTTTTTCAATTGACTGTCAAGCTTTAGGCATTATCTACACCCGTTGGTCTCTCTCCTCCAGGGAGAACTGATCATTTATCTACACCTGTTGGTCTCTCTGATCATTTGTCCATGTAACATACCTGGACGTGACCTCTTGATGTTCTCCATAGACATGTGGATCCGGTTTCACATGCCAAATATGGGAGAGGTGAAAGGAAGGAGTCTAGCTACTCCAGCCCACACCTAACTTATTATTTGTGTGTCTTAAAATGGCATTCCATACGCCACACACCCACACCCACATTTCTCCTTCATACCAATATTTCCTGGGTATGCATGTTATCAATCAGGACTCTAGAGATAATACCTCTGCCTAGAACATCTTTCTGTGGCATAGTAATATCCTGTCTCTGTTCTAAGGAAATAATTATGTGCTATATGTTTGGACGGGGGTGGAGAGTGTTGCTGGTTTTTGGTTTGAATGGCAAGTGGTAAAGGCCAGTGTTATCTACTGTACCAAGATTCTAGTATGTTCAGTAAACACAGGCCTTGAAAATCAGGAGATTCTCTTGAGCTGGAGAATGGTATCCCACCTTCCTTAATGGTTAGGATTTACATCATCAAGAAATCATTGGCTAAAATATCCTATAGAGAAACTAGTCCTGCTACCACAACCACCACCACCTGCACCCGTTCCTGCTCCATCAGGAACCACCGAGGTGGCCTGGGATTCAGCTGTCTTACCTGTAGGTACCCTGGCGGCCCTCAGGAGAACTCGTGACCTGTATGGTTTACTTAACAGGGACTCCTGGGCCACAGTTTGTTTACTGGACATCGAGTCCCTCAGGCTGAAAGCCTGAATGCTAGACCTGGAGGGGATTTCTGTGAGGCCATTTTCTTCCCAGTCCTCCTCTTTATCCTTCTTCTTTTGTTTGGCCTGGTCCAGGGAGTACTGCCACTTTACATTCTCAAACTGGAACATGAGAATATTGCTCTCCGTGTTGATCACCATCCTGGAACCAAAACAACAAGATGGCCCACAAAAGGCAAGAAGGCCACCGCTGCCCGGCCTCCAAATACGCATTTCAAATACTGTCCCATCCAACCATAAGCCTGAAGGAACAGTGCCCAGGCCATCACTGTACAAAGAGGGTGTTGGAGGTTGTTGGAGGGTCTGGAGCGCTGAACGGTCACAGGCAGGCAACAGGGAGGGGTTCTCTTGAAAATTAACTGTAAGCAGGACACGTACGTTCTGATTCCCTCACCTTTCAAGGTAAAATATTTTTAAACGAATTTCTGTTCATAGAGTTGAGTTGAGTGTCACATCCCTAGGGTGCCCAAAGCAGATAGGTTAGGTACTCTGCACACTGACGTCTTGAAATTCACTCTCTTTTTTTTCAAAGCACAGTATCCAAATGCCATATTTTACTGCTATGATGGGGATAAGGAGAACTCTGTAATGGGGAGGACTCTGCTCCCTCACTGACTCTCCAGCCCACCCTCCATCCCTCTATCCTTCCAGGATCTCTGCACATGCTCTGCATTTAAACAAAACAGCTGTACTTTATAAAGCAAGATGATTTCCTTCTTTCCTAATCCACACTTTTAGGCCTTGGTAGGAAAAGAGTTCCAAACCTGGGCCCCCCAGCAGGGAACCCCAACCACCCACTGGTTTCTGTCATTCACAACGTCCACAGAGCACGTTATCTACCCTAATCTGTGCCTAGATCTCCTAGAACTGTAAACGAGCAATGGAAATACCATGTGTAGGTTCCTTTCTGCTCCAAAAGGCTGAATTTTAAGACCTTAACTATTAGCGTAAACCCTCGTAAGAGTGACTGGTTTTGGTTAGAAATGCTAGAATGGAATTGGGGGAATCATTCCAATCAGGAATCCCTTTCAGACTCATTTTTACTCAGGCCCAAAGGAAACTGTCTCTCTTTGGATGTCATAAAAAAGAAAAGGTCAGAGGTGATTTCTTTTTAATGGCATTAGTACTTTGAAACTGAAAAAGCGTCCCTTTGTTGAGACTTCTCACCAGTCCTGCCCCTTTAAGACGGGAAATAGCCCTAGTATGGTTTCATTAAAAGGAAGGCAATATGGTTGGGGAAGATTCACTGATATCTCAAGTGAGCCTGTGCAACTTTAATTCTATTTGGGTATTTTCACATCCTATTGCCCTGAACCTAGCCTATGACAAATACAATACTACATACAAATGGTCTTGGTTCTGGTTTCTGTAAACTCACCTGGCTCAGCTCTGCCCCACCAGACCCTGGAACCCCGGCTACTACCACCCCACTCCCATCCTGTAAGTCTCTTTGCGTCAGAAGTGAGCATCAGGGAGCAAACAGGGGCTGCACATTTAGAGCAGAGCCATACTGTACTCACTGCCTGATTTGCCCAGACATCCAGAACAAATCAGAGTGATGTGAACCCTGCTTGCTAAGTTTTGTGCAAAGTCCAATCCACCCTCCCGCCCGCCGCCACCATATGATTATTGACGCTTCTACAGCCAAAATTGGAGGGGACCACTGCCCCCTCTCTCCTGCTGCCAGCAAATGCAGGGCTGGTATCCCAGAGGAGAAGAAAACCAGCCAAACCATAGAGCCCACGGCCCTGACCTCCACACCTACCACCCACCTGTTGCCCTGAATAAAGAAGGACAGCACAGGATCACCTCTGCCGTTGGCTTTCATCACCTTCAGACAGTTCCCATTGAGGAAATTGTAAATGCGGATCTTGCCATCTGCACAGGCACTGATGACCCGGAGGAAGACAAGAGCCACGTGGAGCACCTCCCTAGAAGGGAACAGAGCAACAGGCAGGACGTGTCTTCTGGGAAACTGCTTGGATTTGTTTGTAGCTTGGGGGGATTTGGGGTGCATGCTTGGGAGGCATTGGTCATGACTGCCCTTCCTGCGATGTTTGCCATCATTTCATAATTCTGGATGGAAGCCATTAACCCTCAAGACATGGTTGCGCGCTCTCCTCCCATTCTGCTGTTATGTTTCCTGCAAATTGGTCAGAGTGCCACATGATGGCAATAGGCAAAGCCTTCCGTCGTGGCTTTTTGTTTTGTTTTGCTTTGGTCTGACACATAGACTTGTGCTTTTCTCTTACAATTTGGCTCCTACCTACTGACTTCTACAAAAGCCATGCAGAGAAGTACTTCATGTTGTGATTCCTTTTCAAATAGCATTATTAGATAAAGAAAGAGCAGAAGAGATGGGAAAATGATCATCTTTATAGGAAGCAAGAACCTGACATTTCAGCAGTTTCTTCTGGGTCTTAAATTAGTGGCTTTCATTCTTTCAGTGAAACTTTCCGAAGGAAAAGTGTACCCAGGGAGGAGATGTAGGAGTTCCCTTTTGTGGTGACTAGCAGAAACAGAGAGAGGACCAGGAGACTTAGATGCCTCCAACAAAATCTTCCTACCATGGCTGTGGCCAAGTGGGACTCCAGGCGTGTGAAGTATTCAATTCTACAAAATGTAATTACCCCATTCCCGTTAATGATACTAAAAAGTTGAATCTGGTGCCACCAACTAGTTAGATCATATGTGCAAAGCAAGTCCTTCGATCCCTGCCATTCTGTACCTATCCAAGTCCATTCATGGCCTTGCTCATATGCTACCTTCTCTATAAAACCACGCTTTATCTCCATCTCCCCTTTCCCGCACACATATACACAAACTTCAGGTACACTGTTAGATTCTCTTGGGCAGAACATAAGTCTTACTCATCTTTGCATGCCCAGCACCTAACACAAGGCCTAACCCATAGAAGGTCCTCAATAAATATCTGTTGAAATGGCGAGTGTCAGCTCAAGTTTCAGAACATGATCACTGATACAGTGGGTTAAAAGAATGACATCCACCCCATAACATGTGGCCTTAGCCCTGATCAGATCCAAGAGCCAGATTAAGATGTTTCAAAGCCCCAGGGCGCCTGGGTGGCTCAGTTGGTTAAGCGACTGCCTTCGGGTCAGGTCATGATCCTGGAGTCCCGGGATCGAGTCCCACATCGGACTCCCTGCTCAGTGGGGAGTCTGCTTCTCCCTCTGACCCTCCCCCTCTCATGCTCTCTCTCTCTCTCTCTCTCACTCTCTCTCAAATAAATAAATAAAATCTTTAAAAAAAAAAAAAGCCCCAACCACTAGCAAAATAGAAACAACAAAGACTTTGAAAGGCAGGAACATGCTTAGTATGTTCAAAGGACAACAAAAAGGCCAATGTGGCTCATGTGATGGATAGATCAATCAGTCAACTGATCACTCATTCTGAAGTGTAAAATAAATATAAGAAAGTCCAACAAAGTTCTAGTTTTATTCCAAAGATGGAAATATAATACATTTACTGGTGCCTTAAGTGCATCTTAGTCTACCTGTAGGGGAATCCAGAGCTAGGAGAGATGCCCTGTGATAGAAGGGTTTGCGTCTTTCTGTACCTCTTTTGATCTTACAGAGCTGGACCTGCACTTCTCATAGGCTCCTGTGGCATTTGGTAGTTCAGCCTATACCATTATAGCCTAGTGATTGAAAGTACAGGCTTTAGGATCAGAAAACCTGGGATCCAAACTTGGTTCTACCACTTACTGACTGTGTAACCTTGAGAAAGTAACATGATCTCTCAGTCTTTAGTTTTCTCTTCTATGAAAAGGGGATAGTGATTTCTGCCTCAGAGGATTGCTGTCAGGATTAAATTAATGGAGGTACTTTTCAAACAGCCCAGTACCTAACACAATAATGGTTATTATGATCCTGTACTAACACGGTCTGCGTTCAGGTTTTATCTCTGCCCCCCCAAAAAAGTAATTTCTTTCTTAAGTCTCCTTCTTTGTTCCTTCTTTATCAAAAGACACTGCAGAGAGTGTTATCAGGGAGAATGGTGGAAGAAGGAACTCCAAAATCCCACCCTTCCAATAAAAGCAATGAAAAAACTGGCAAAAATGGTTGCAATTTTTTCAGAACTCTGAAAAATAACCAAAGGCTTGCAGGAACCCAAGGAGCACTCAGACAAAAAAGAATGGCTTTGTCTCAATAAGAAGAATGAACTTTGTGATGTATCAACTTACCTGAGTCCCATTCCCAACTCCCCAGCTCATTGGTAACCATGAAACTATCAGCCCACATTCCTGGTACTGGAGGAAACAGAACAAACCTCTTTCACAATGAATTATTTGACCTCTCTCATGGCTTCCTGGAAGACTGATTCAAAAACTTTTCTTTATTTTGCCTTAGTAGGAACTCACCCAATGCTAAAGCTGCTACCTGGGGGGGTGTTCGTTGAACACCTTCATAGGCAAATCTTGTAGTCACTGCTGCCTAAGGCAATAGATATCAGTTGGAGCAAACAATACACTAACCAAAAAGCTTTAAAGTTAAAGCTGGGGAATAAAATGTCCATAAGGACTTTGAAAAGCTCAGACATATTCCTGGGGCTCTATGTGGCCATATACAGGGTTATGCACACACTGGGGAAGGACCTGAAAAAGCCCGAAGCTCTCACTCTTAGCTGACCTTGATGTTCTCCACAAGCAAAAGTGAGAGCTAAGGCAGAGTTGTAAACTGTCTAGCTGAGTGTTGAAAGTTTCCCTCAGTAGGTACACAGCCCCTTGGCAAAGAATGGGAGATATTTTACTTCCAGGTGTTCAAACCTTATTCCAGTCAGTGCACCACCAAGGTAAAAGAACAGAGACTTCAGCAGCCAAACAAGACAACTAGACAGACTCACTAAACAAACACACAATAAAAACCACAACAAGCAACAGTGAAAACAAACCCTGGGAATGGGGAAGAATTTGATTTCCAGAGATGTCATATTAAAATATCTGAAATGACCAGTTTTCAAATAGATATATAAAACATAAAAAGATACTGAAGAGTATACACAGGGAAAAAAGCAACACTCTGCCAGGAAACTCAATGGTTGGATTCTAGACAAAGACTATAAATCTGTTCTAAACATGTTCAAATAGCAAATAGGAACCATGTCTACAAAACAAAAAGAAAGTATGAGAACAGTGTCTCACCAAATGGAGATTACCAATAAAGAGAAATTATTAAAAAAGAAAAAGTTCAAATAGAAATTCTGGAGTTGAAAACTACAGGAACTGAGATGAAAATTCACTAGAGGGGCTCAACAGCACATTCATATAGGCAGAAGCAAAGGACTTAAAGAGAGGTCAATTTAGATTTTCCAGTCGGAGAACAGAAAGAAAAAAGAATGAAGACAAAAGAACAGAAACTCGGAAGCCTGTGTGACATCATTAAACCTCAACACATGCATAATAGGAGTCCCAGAAAGAAAGGAGGGAAAGAGGCAGAAATATTTGAAGAAATAATCGCCTAAAGCTTTCCAAATATGATGAAAATCATTAATCTACACATCCAAGAAGCTCAACAAACTCAAACTGTGGTAAATTAAAGAGATCCACACCTAGACATACCATCATCAAACTGTAAAAAGCCAAAGGTCAAGACAGGACTGAAAGCATCAAGAGAGAAGCAGCTCATCACCTAAAAAGGATCCTCAATAATATCAACAACTGATTTCTCATTGGAAACCATCAGAAACTATGGAGGCCAAAGGCAATGAAATGACATATTCAAAGTGCTGAAAGGAAAAAATAACTGTAAACCAAGAATTCTATATCCATCAAAACTATCCTCAAAGATGGAGAAATTAAGATATTCCCAAATAAACAAAAAATGAGAGTTTACACTAGCAAGAAATGCTATACAGGCTCCTTCAGGTTGAAATGAAAGGACACTAGTGGTAACTGAAATCTGCATGAAGAAATAAAGAGCATCAGTAGAGGTAACTACCTCGATAAATATAAAAGACAGTATAAATGTGATTTTTGTTTATAGGTCTTTTTTTCTATCTCGTTTAAAAGGCAACTACATAAGGCAATAATTATATGTATGATGATGTATACACAGGATATAAAGATTTAGTCTGTGACAACAGGGTATAAAGGAGGAGGGAGAAGGAACTCTATAAGAGCCAATTTTTTATACTATTGAAATTAAATTGATATTAATATGAACTAGATTATTATAAATTAAGATGTTAACAGTAATCCCCAAGGCAAGCATTAAGAAAATAACTCAAAAATATAGTAAAAAAACAAAAAAATGACAAGGGAATTAAAATGGCACACCAGAAAATATCCAATAAACACAAAAGAAGGCCATAATAGAAGAACTGAGGAACAAAAAATTACTTAAGACTATAGAAAATAGAAAAAGGGTAAAGTAAGTCCTTTTTACCTTAAATATAAATGGATTAAACTCTTCAATTAAAAGGTATAAATTGGAAGAAAGGAAAGAAACAACATAATCTAACTTTATGCTGTCTATAAGGGACTCACTTTATTTCTTTTTTAAAGATTTTATTTATTTATTTATTATTTATTTATTTATTTATTTATTTAACAGACAGAGACACAGCAAGAGAGGGAACACAAGCAGGGGGAGTGGGAGAGGGAGAAGCAGGCTTCCTGCGGAGCAGGGAGCCCAATGCAGGGCTCCATCCCAGGACCCTGGGATCATGACCTGAGCCGAAGCCAGACGCCCAATAACTGAGCCACCCAGGCGCCCCAAGAGACCCACTTTAGATTCAAAACTACAAACAGGTTGAAAGCAAAAGAATGGCAAAAATACCTAAACAAAGCACAAAGTAGAGACAAAATTTAGACACAATGTTAGACACACTTGTTAATAGAGACCAAAAAAATTATATGATGATAAAAGGGCAACTTCATCAAAAAGATATAACAATTATAAACACATATACA